GAATGTTTGCAAACCAAAGTGGTTAACCTAAATAAAAATAATTAATTTTATTTGCTTATGGCTCCGAAAGAGCATTACATAACATTATCTCTAATAACATTTATCTTATACGTTCGTGGTTTTGCAACGATATTATTTCGTAGTATCGTAAGATAATTTCAGCTGGACAATCAATGGTTTTGTGATTCCAAGGGACTGTAGGGTTGATGTTCATGCAATTGGTTTTCATAGGAATGGATTTAGAACACGAGAAGATGGTAATGTCCTTAAATGAAAAGAATAAAAATGTGCACTAGAAGAAGTTTCTGGATTTTTTTCTACTATATTCGGACCAAAATCGGTCTGAAAAATGAAAAGCATGGAAGCTTCTGGATTCTTTGCATATATTCAGACCAATACCGGTCCGTATATATTCATACTAAATTTAATTTAGCTTTAAGATAAAAAAATTCCCTCAGATTGCCTATATTCGGACCGATCCCGGTCCGTATATTCCAATGAACAGCAGCTTTTATTTTATTTTTTTGTTATTTCATGCTTAAGTCGTTCTACTCTTGTTTTAAACCGTAACATTCCGAATGTTTGCAAGCCAAAGTGGTTAACCTTAAGAAAAAAAATGAATTTTATTTGCTTATTACTCCGAAAGAGCATTACGTAACATTATCTCTAATAACCTTTAACTTATACATTCGTGGTTTTGCAATGATATTACTTCGTAGTATCGTAAGATAATTTCAGCTAGACAATCGATGGTTTTGTGATTCCAAGGGACTGTAGGGTCGATGTTCATGCAATTGGTTTTCACAGGAATGGATTTAGAACACGAGAAGATGGTAATGTCCTTAAATGAAAAGAATAAAAATGTGCACTGGAAGATATTTTACGAATATATTCGGACCGAAATCGGTCCGTAATTAATTTATGCGCCAAATTTTTACCGTTAATTTGAATCTTATTGATTTTGCGCTAATTTATTTATATTCAGACCGATTTCGGTCTGAATATGATTAATGCGCCAAAAATTTTCCCAAAAAAATTTCAATTTTTCCGAAAAAATTGAAATTTTTTGGTGTGGCGCGCCAATGAGGATTATACGGACCGAAATCGGTCCGTATAAGTCTTATATATATCACTACTTCTCTTCCGTTTCTTCATTTCATCTTCTTCCTCTCTTTCTTTTCCTTTCTTCCTCTCTTTCTGCCTCCCGTCTCCTTTTTCTTTTTCTTCCTTTTTTTTTTTTCTACTTCCCTTCTCCCTCACTTTCTTTCCCTTCTACTTCTCTTCTTTTCTCTCTTCCCTTTTCTTTCTCATTTCCTTCTATTTCCTTTTCTTTCCTCTCTTTTTT